ACAGAGATTTTGGCTATTTATTGCTATCTGGAAGATTAATCTGATTTATTTTTTTTTCCTTCTTCTCTTTCTGTAAAACAAGAATAATTTGAGGCTTTGCCCTTTTTAGGTCACTCTTAGATGTTCTTATTTGCTATTCTGTACAGGTGCTGAGAAGGTATATAGTAAACATTGTGATAATTACCTTTTTTTAGAGTAGTATTTGCAATACTTCACAAGGGGTTGCAAAATAAAAGAGTTCACTGGTTGCATTTGTTTGAGATTAAGGCATGGCTTGATGATGGATGTGTGGAGATTCCTGGGGAAAATTTAGGTAATGAGGTGGTTCTTAAATGAACAGAGACATCATAAAATTGTTCACCAGTTGAAATAGGATTGGTATGTGTATGTACGTACATCTATCTATATCCTTATATATCTATGAATAACATATTTCATTCACTGAGACAATTTTTAATAACTTTTTTCCCCAATAAAGTAAGATGGGATACTTTTCAAGGAGATACTATTTTATTATATAGTTTAAAAAGGAAACAATTCTGTAAAGTCTGTCTTGCATAACACAGGGTACTGACCCCATGATTGCTGTAGTCCCTGAACTGTAGGCATTATCTGAGCCTGTTCCAGCTGACAATATTTCTAGCAGAGACATTGTGCACCCATTCTACCAAGAGATTAGTTCCAGTACAATACCGTGCATTACTGTGCCACCACTGGCTATTTAAGGCATCCCTAATTAGACAGCTTGTCCCAGTGTGCTGAGGCAGAATAGATTTAGGGGATTAAGTTTCGTGTGTGGGGCCTGGAGGCTCTGCAAAGTACATGTAAACAAGGGCTGGGTGTGTTCATGCTTTGGAGAGGAGGAAAGGGAAGGATGTAAGGCAAAATGTTGTTTGGGAAGTTGCCACATCTAAGGAGAAGTGATTGGAAATATGTGGATTCATTGCTTCCAATTAAGAGAGCAGCCTGAAAAACAGGTGAGGCGGGGCCATGTAGAAGACAAAATAGGTGAGGTCAGATTGGTCCTGGAGAAAAAAATCTCGGTGGCAGACTGCCAGGCTGGAAACAGGGCAAGGAGAGATGACCAAAGTGAATTCTTTCACATTTTAAAGCATGGGTGATGCCTGCTTTGCTGACAGAAGTCACCACAATAAGACATGAAAGTGGGAAATGTCTGGCTGTAAGCAGGTGGAAATACCATTTTCCCAACTGATGTGTGGGGTGGTTGAGGAGGAGATGTTCCTATAGCCTGTGCTGGAGCAGAATCTGACTTGCATGAGGACTGTTGCTTGCTGGACCACACATTCAGTGCAAATAGTAGACTTTGAGAGCCACGAGGTTCAGGTAATCCACTCACACCAGTCATAAGTGGTCAGAAATCAGGCTGCATATGAGGCAGTTGTTACTTATTCATTAAGGTCATCACATTAGCTTGGTGCTGAACTTGTCAAGGGATTTCACAGCATGAGGTACCAAGCAGACCTCAGGTTGGGTGATGGTCTGTTGTCAGCACATTCCTTTTTGGGGAAGATGTCTTTCAAACTTGACACAGCTGTGATCTCTCTCTGGTTGCTACCTCCCACCTCTGTGGCAGAGTGGGACATTGTGTAAGAGCAATTTAAAAAATGAGAAGGGAGTCTGTCTCTGGGGTGAACCTTTCCTGATTTGGTGTCTTGCCTTGTTTTTTCTTCTGTGCTGCTTATGTGATGGTGAAATGCTGCTTTTTCTCTTAGCACTGCCTTCAGATGTAGTGGTAAATCATGGAGGAAGGACACCATCATGGCTGCTGGGTCTCTGGATGTTGTGTTACAGCCCAGGGGAAGTGACTGAGCCAGTGCCAGCTTCTAGTAGTGACAGAGATTTCCATCTGGTTTCTGGGATAGTATCTTATTGTGGCCTGATTACGGTCACATGTTGTGCTGGGTTTTATAGCAGCAGAGCACTCGGAAGTGCTGCCTGGCTGCAAGGCAGGGAGGTAGCTGGGAGGGTTCTCCTGGGAAGTCTCTGCAGGCTGACAACAAAACTGCTCACTTTACAGTCCTGTCATCACTGTAATAATTATCATGCAAATCATTGATGTTTTAGGTGTGCTGTCCCTCTTTGTGGCCGCTCTGAGACTTTGCTTAGTAGTAGGAAGGAGAAAATTATTCGGCACCTGTCATAATTCCATCAGTTCAGTGCAGAATATTAATTTTGAACTCTAAAGAACCAAAAAAACAACAAATAAAAAAAAAAAAACCAAAACCCAACCCAACCAATCAAAAAAAAAAAAAAAACAAAAAACCAAAACTTTAACAAGTTGTCATCCTTAATCCTAAAAGTTAGTGCTAAAAGCCTCTCAGAACTGGGGGGAAGATGGATTTTTTGGGATGCAAAAAAAAAGGTTATTTTATTTTAAAATTGTGGTTTCAATCTTTTTTTTAGGAAGAGTCTTTCTAGGCTTTCTGTACTGAAAAACAATGTGAGAAGTACCTCTGGAGCTTTAGAAGCCCTCAGAGTTCATGCTTGTAAGAACAATTGATCGCCTTTGTGATGTCTGAACTGGATTAGCGAAAGGAGTGTTTGGTCTGAAAAAGCAACTTGTCCTCCAACTGACTTCATGGCATCAAAATAAGGCAGCAGAGTAACCAACCTACTGAGCTAAATATTAAGTGTTACAGACAGCATGCTACAATGTTTTATTTGCTTAACTTTCCAGCCATGCAGAACGCTTTTAGGAAAGGCATAGGATAAATTTCTCCTGGAAGACTTTTGCTACCTAGAAATAAATGCTATTTTATTACAAAAAGTTCATTAGTAACATTACTATGAACTTCTGTACATATTTGTCAGGTTTTGTGTTCAGTGGACTCAGGTGCTAGTTGGTTGCTAGTAAGGAAGCTATGGAAATCAGAGAATGGTTTGGGTTGGAAGGGACCTTATAGATCATCTAGTTCAGATCCCCTTGCCACGGGCAGGGACACAAAATTCTGAATTGTATTTAGCATTCTTACTTCATTTAAAGAGAAAAAACCTAATGGTAATGATTGTGTCATTAAAGAGAAAAACTGTGACCTATATTACACACTCAGTGTCCTTAAATGCAAATTCTATTTGTAAAATATTTATGCCTATTTTGCACATCATACAATCTTTCCCTTAATTATATTTTTCAAAGTTTTGCTTGATTTCCACTCAAGTCTAGAGGGTATGCTAACAAGGGAGGTACTGCCTGATCATTAATGAACTTTCAGTGAAGGAACAGTGTCACACAGTGGAATATAGTGAAACCTTCAGGATAAAAATTCTGAGAAGTACCCCAGCACATCCCTAGGTGGAAAATTTGTACTCTGCAATAAAAAGAAGATATATCTTGCTCTGTGCGATTTTTATTTTATTTTTTTTAACAGGATATTTGTAACTTGGGACTGAGCTATACGTGTGCTGATTTAATTTGAACTAGTCTGCAGCAGTGCATTCAAGAGTTGCTGGAGACTAGCTCTCTCTTCATCAGCAGGCATTGGCATGGTCACAGTAGATCAGTAGGTAGCTTTGGGTCCTTATGTTTCCATTAATTTTTGGAACACATTTCGTGTGTTTGGAGTGAAGCATTTTGGCTTTGTTTCCTCTGAGAGGGCTATGATTTGTCCACACTGAAATCCAAATGCACTGTGATCCAAACAAATGTGTGGCAAGTGAAGATGTTGGGGAAATTTGCTTCAGGATAGGACAGCTACTCTAAACCAAACACTAATGTAGGTGTGGGCCCTTAAAGCATGGCATGTAAAACCAATACGTGCTTTTAAAGTATAGTGTGTATGCAGATCTTCAACTTTGACGTGTGACCGAAAGTAGCCACACTGAGGTAAATGCGAGTACTTACATTTGATATACATGGAGAATCTATATTATATATTCCATGATTTATTTTTTTTTTTAATGTAGCTCTATTGCTGAGATTTTATCACCCTTATATAAAGCCTTATTTGTCCCACATCTTTTAAGCTGCACCCTTTTTTTAATTTGGTGTTTTGGGAACTTGGAAACACTTTTTTAAAAAAAGGTATTTCTGTAAACAAAGTATTAGTTAATTACAGGTAGAATAAAATGTTATGTTGGCCAGAGTTTTTCCTCCTGATAGTTAACCATTAAACCGACTGAATCACAAACTTCCACAGTCTTCTCTAGCTAGGGAGCTAGTACATTAATTCAATTTTGGCAAGACTGCAAGAGTATTAAGAATGCAGAGGAATTAGTAAAATGATAGAATACAAGAAGTCTGAGATGGCTGTGTTCTACAAAGTAGAACAAACTGAACACATGGGAAAAAAAGCTGTAATTTCTCTCAGTGGAAAAACAATGAGGAATGAGACATTCTTACCTGTAGAACTTGTTAGAAATTTTTTTCCTCTGAAGATATGGTGCTTCACTGAAACTAAACATTTCACAGAAGTGTTCTGTCTGTGACAAAACTCCTTTCCTGTCAAAGGAAAAGAAGAAATGTGAGACATCTTGCTCTCATAGCAAGGAGGCTTTTGTTTAACATGATATGTAGACTTTGTGGATCCTTGCTCCCAAATTACTCCTTAAACTATCCTGCATTTTTTTTTCATATTTCTGTTACTATTTAAAAAATAAATCAATTTTTACATTGAAAGCATGAATAAATCTGATAAAACTGGAAAAACTGATTTCAAAGTCTGAAATGAATAATGGAAGTTAGTCTTTGGTAATGCCTGGTATACATACAGAAGCACTGGGAGTTCTAGGCAGGTTGTCAACTTGGGTTGGTAGGTGAGCCCTCAGGGAAGATAACGTCATTTGCATGAGCAGTTGTATGAATGGGAATCTGATACAGTCAGTACTGTGCCTCTGACAGCTGGAAGCTTCCTGGCTTATGAAAAATTATCATTTTTCAGTCAGTAAGGAATTCTTTTGAGGTTTCTTATTTACATTGTTTGTATGCTCCTCTGTCTGATGAGATGAATTTATAATAGTTCATTTTGTCTTTTCCAAAACAGAATTAGACCACAGCTAGCCAAAGAGAAGATTGAAGGATGCCATATTTGTACATCTGTTACACCTGGTGAACCTCAAGTGTTCTTGGGAAAAGATAAGGCCTTCACTTTTGATTACGTCTTCAACATTGACTCACAGCAAGAAGAGATCTATATACAGTGTATAGAAAAACTGATTGAAGGCTGCTTCGAAGGCTATAATGCCACTGTCTTTGCTTATGGACAAGTAAGCTTTACAGTGTTATTTGAAAAAAAATTATTTTGGAATTAAGAGTTTCTTGGAACTGATCTTTCTCTTAAAATTCAGAACGCATAAGTGTGTTTTTTAGTATCTGTTTTATTTTAAACAAGATATCCTGTAGGAAACTTTAGGAATTTGTATAGATCCTGAGCAGAATGGCAACTGAAACACAGGGGAAAAAATAAAAATTGGCAATAGTAATTAATAGTAATGCTGAAAAAGCATGAATCCATATAATTCCTGAATTCACCTCTGTGCAGCAATACAAATCAGTGACTTAATCAGATGATATATAGCTAGAGGTTGTACTGAGATTCTTTTCTGAGCAATTACCCATCCCTTTGCATTTCCAGATTCTTTTAGGAAGAGGAGGGTTTTCATTTATTTATTTTTTTTTTAAATAAATCCTAGGTAACTTTCAGTCACAATATTTGTGGGCAGAACGTAGAGATTGGATTCCAAAGACAGAGAACTTTTCATAGAGTACACATCCTCTTAGTACACTGGGCACACAGTTTACTTCTCAAAGCTGAAATATCATTGAACACAGTGTAGAGAATGTTATTATCCTGTGAATATTCCTTTAGGAATTGATCGCACAAAATTTGGTCTTTGCTGCTGAATTTCACCACTGTTAAATGTCATACCTCAAGTTGTCTAGTTGAAGACTAGTCCTAGTGAAACTAGTTTAGTAGATCCTGTTCAGCTGTGTGATACTATCTTTATCTTAGGTTTGACCCACTAATTAAGGGAAAACACAACACTACCTTGTCTTCTACAGGGCTTCACATCTAATTAAGTAATTTTCCTAGTGAAGATACAGCTTGTATTCTTCAGTGCTGTCTATAAATTAAGAATGATGGTAATATTCCCCCTGAAACATATAGATCTAATGAAGGGAGTAATTTGATCTACTTCAGTAAAGAATTGAAAATGCTTCAACCTCCAAAATATATACTTTAATTAACAGTCTTGGTTGAAAACAAACTATTCTTTTGACCTCAGAGCTGATAGCTCAAGGTTGAAGTAAGCAGCTTAGAGGAAGCTTGTAGAGAGAAGGTTATGAAAGACTGAATTGGTCCCTGCCTCCTGTATGTGATCTGTGGATAAACAGTGGAGTTTATCCAACTTCTGCTGTTTACCCATTTTTCAGAATGGCTGCTTATTGTGCATGTTAATATTGTAAAGGTGACAGACAGTAGTCACTATTTAGCACTAGTGTTCAAAAAATGCATTTCTCTGGTCTTTTGGTGCTATTAACATGTTCTAGTGACTACTCCTTTTTCAATTTAGACAGGTGCTGGCAAAACATACACCATGGGCACTGGATTTGATGTCAACATAACAGAGGAGGAACAAGGCATTATATCACGTGCTGTTAAGCATCTTTTCAGATGTATTGAAGAAAAAAAACAAGCTGCTATTAAACAAGGACTTCCACCTCCAGATTTTAAAGTGAATGCACAGTTCTTAGAGGTAGGTATGATCTGTGTCTGTGTGTGTAACTGCATGTGGGTTTTTTTTTTTTTAAGCCAAATAAACCCTTTTTCTGGTTGCTACTTTTACATTATTTTCCTCCAAGAAGTTTTTAAATAATCTTGAAGTTTTCAATAGGAAATTCTATGGTATTTGCTTCAGCTCTTCACTTTATGAAAAAGAGCCTTTTTATCTTATTCCAATTGTTTTAGTAGTTTTCTTTACAGTGTTTTTTGGAAGTGTAAAATCAGTTACAGTAATTGTCGTTTATCCCTTTCTGCAGCACACTTGTTTATGTGGGGCCTGTTGCTCTTGCTTGTTTGCAATTCTTTACAAAACTTTAAAGCAAGAAACTACATATATAAAAAAAAAAATCAATTGTATGTTGTGCCTTTGAGCAGTGACCACACTTCACTTGCTTTTGTCACTTTGCCATAGATTTCTCTAGGAGACTTTCTGTTCAGGAGGCTTGTTTATATTCCTTTCACCAAAGAAGAAACGTAGCATTTTTTTTTTTTTCTGTGATCCTAAATGGTTTAGGAATGGGCTTCTGTGCCACTGTTCCCTCTTTCATCAGACCCAGAGAAATCCTTGGTCAGTGCTGTGGAAAAACCGTTCCCTTTGTGTTTTCTTGTAGACACAGCTACTGGTAAGAGAGGCTGCAGCCTCTGCGATCTTTCCAACCTGCAGCAGCTGTTCGTTTAAGTCTTCAGGCTTTTATGTTGTCTCCTGCCTGTGGAACTATTTTCTAAATTGATTGATTTGGGCGTAGCATATTTACAATCTCTACCAAGCTGCAAAATCTCATACTTTAAGCACACTGAGAGGCAGAATCAATTTAAGGAAGAACAGGTATTTTAGATCAGTATTTGCAACTTTACTTACCTACTTTGGGAGAACAAGGACCTCCCACTTTGGTATTATCCAAGGGTAAAGCTGTTGGTTTTATTACTGCTGAAGTAAATGATGTCCTTTAGTCATGTTTCTATAATGGTTTTAAAGATTAACAAGCTGCCATTAGTTTTGCACTAGTATAGGTTTGTCACTGCTAACCTTAAGCAGAGCTTTTTGCTGCTCTGGCTAATGTTTGCCTAGAGAGAGTCCAGGCTGGAGCACGGGCTGTGCAAATGTTGTACTCTTCTGTTTGAATACTGGGGTGCTGCAGCTTCATTTCTGCCTAGGCAAAGAGGAGCTGTGTAGCTAGTTGTGGGATTGTTTCTTTTTTTATTTTTTTTTTTTATATAAACGTGACTGAGAGTCCCAAAGTAGAGAGGTAACAATGTTGCAGTGATAATGGTATGCAGAATTGCAGCCATTTACAACATATATCAGATTAAATAACATACTAAAACCTGTTTTTAGGTTAAATTATGTATATAGTGTTTTTTCCCTTAACAAAATCTCACTTTTTGGTAGATTTTTTCCATTGTGCTCAGGCTAAATTGGAGCTTTCCCAGCTAGAGCTTGTTCTGATGATTTACCTTCTGATACAAGAGTAGTGCATGATATGCATCTTCTTCCTCCCACCCTATCTACTGCTGGATTATATGAACAATAATTTAGTCACTGAACAGTTGAAGCAAGGTTTTATTTTGGAATAACTTTGAAGTCTGACAGCTGAACAACTGTTTGGAACAGTGACTTCTGCTAGCTGCCTTCTTGCTTGTTTTCAGTTTGCAGCCTGTCTCAAATCCTTTCTTACCTACTAGCTTTGACAAAAGATAGGCATAGGCAGTCCTGTGCAATCTTAGGTACAATATCAGGATCCTTTCTAAATTGTGACATGTTTGTTTGCACTCAGCAAGGGAAAACATTAGGAAGAAGTCTCCTTCTTAGAGTATTTCTGACTAATAGTTACATATAATTACTTTTTAATGTGTAAAGAATTAAAAGCATTGCATTCACAAACGCTGAACTTTTTCTTCTTGGGGATGGCTTTTCACTTGTAGGGCAGAAAGCCTCTTGCTTTCATTGCATGAGAAAGTACATTGGGTGAATACAGATCTATGGCAGTGGTTCTTTACTTTGACCAGGGATTTAATCACTTTGGCTTAAGCTCTGCTAAAGTGAATTGGTGCAACCAAATTAAAGACATCACAACTGTTCTGGTATACATCAGCATAGACCTGAGCCATGAGATTTCCAGTGTGACACTGCTTTTTCTGTTTGTTTTGTGTTGTTTTCTTTCTTTCTTTCTTTTTTTTTTTTTTGTTTGCCCTGATGTCTTTGATTAGATCTAAGCATCTTTGCTAAAACTCAGAACATTCTTCTCTAACACTGTAACACCAGTAACTGCGTAGTAATTTCTGTTGTCTTTCCTGGTTCTGATATCATTTGCTAACCTATAAGTCTAATGTGTTTAAGGATACTGAGTTGAAAGACCACTAAATGTACATGTACTTGCCTTCAAAAGACCCAGTGAAGTGAGCAGTAAACATTAAGCAGCCCAAAACACACAATAAATAGTTGCTGTTGCTCATATGATTGTGCCTGAAAGTTGTAACTAAATCTGGGGCACCAAAGTGCAGGCATTGTCTGGAGTAAAGAACAAAAGCCCTGCTCAAGAAACTATGCCAGAGTATTTTTGGCCTGCTGGTTGCACAAACTTTTCTATGTTAAATTCCTTCCAGAACAGAAAAAAAAAAAAAAAATCTAAATGAAAGAGAGATATGGAATTATTAAGATGTGGGAAAGGAGATGAGAGACTGTGTGACAGCAGGGAGAGCAAGTGGAGTGAGTTTAAAGTGTTCGGAGGAGGGTGCAGCCAACTGAATCAACAAAAGAAAAGCCCAAGGTCAAACCTGAAGGCAGCAGGTGTCTGCCACAGACACCGCTGGAGCTGCTGTGCTGCTGGCATCGAAGGTGGCCCCTTCCCTGGCCCACCAAAGAACTCTTCCAGATCTGACAGTGCAGAAGAAGTCACTGCAGCTTTGGGTGCCATAATACTAAGCTGTGTGGGTACCAATTTGCAGCTGCTCTATCATCCTATTGTACTTGTAGGTTTGGATTTCCCCAGCATCCTTTTTTTGAGAGCCTTGGCATCTGTTTTTTTAGAATTTGTTTTATGTGCCACGGACAGATTTGTTAGTCTTTGGAGAAATTGCTTCCTAAGGTGATATGTGTTTTTTGATGTGTGTCTTTCTTTCTTTCTCCTCAGCTTTACAATGAAGAAATTCTTGATCTGTTCGATACCACACGTGATATCGATGCAAAGAATAAAAAATCAAATATTAAAATACATGAAGATTCAGCGGGAGGAATTTATACAGTGGGTGTTACAACCCGAACAGTGAATGGAGAATCAGAGGTAATAAATGAAAATAAATTACTCTGTAGCATACCAAATGCATTCTAAAAATATTAACTGTATGTTTTGATAAACAGTTAAAAATAGAGGTTATGCTTGATAACATCTGCACTTGGACAATTTAGGAGTAATATTTAGCTGAAACTTTATTTTTCTTTAGTTCCCGTAGCCTTAAATCTGATACATGTTTGATATTAATTGCACACCACTCTCACGTAATGCTTGAAACACTTTTCTCTCCCAGCAGAACTGTATTATTAGCAAAACTGGCACATGTGTAAATATGATCTCCCAAACCTTATATATGTTATTTTTCCTGTGACGGGAAAGCTTTGTATGATAACTGATGTGAGGTACAATGCCCTTCATGTGCATTGAAAATCTAAATGCACATATTATCATACTATACATTTTTATACAAAAAGTACCAAAATTGTACACTCCTGCCATGGGCGACTGGAAGGAAGATTGCAATGTTACTATTAGGGACAGTAAAAGGAGAGGTACAAAGATTTAAGTATTTTCTTTCAGAAACCACAAAAAATACTTTTAGTTTGTTCTTTAAAAAATCTGCGTGGTTTTTGGCATGTATGAAATCATAGTACGGAGAAAAAACTTATTTGTGTCTGAAACAGTAAATGTTGTAGGAACACTTTTTATTTAAAGTGTAAGCAATGCAATGTACTTTCTGTCTCTCTTCCAGATGATGCAGTGCCTGAAGCTGGGGGCTTTGTCTCGAACCACTGCCAGCACTCAGATGAATGTTCAGAGCTCACGGTCACATGCCATCTTCACCATACACTTGTGTCAAACCAGAGTCTGCCCTGCGTTTAACACCGTATGTGTCTTTACTGTTATCAAACTTCACTTCGGTAACCAGTCTTCAGAATGTGAATATTGTTTTGGCAGGCACTGCTATTTGAACTGCACTTCATAAAGATGCTGCAGTCATCGTCACGCTTGATGACATTGCTAAGCATTATAATAATTTGATTTAATCTGTGCATATGCAACTGTCCTTTAGCCAGAGGCAATCATAAACTGAAGCTCTTACATGAACTTGCTCATTCTCCTCTAGTATTTTGTTTTTTGGTTTTTTTTCAGTATTTTGTTGCAACATACCCAAGTAAGAAACTTAAAATATAATTTGTCTTTAATTGGGAAAGTGTTTTCAAGTGTCTTAGTAGTTAGTGGGCTGAAACCTGCAGTCAGCTGACTGAAAATGCTTGAGTATTCCAGACTGTGTTGATATCTGTCACAATCCACCTGTCGATTTACAATATCCAACAAGAAGCAAGTAGAAAAGCACCTGATTCTGAGGCTCAGTGTATTTGTTTTAAATAGATACATATTTGGAGGTCAGATGTGTTGTTAAGTCTATGTGCTCAGCCTAAAATTTAAACTATGAATGTACACAAAGCTGTTCTGTAGAAGATCTTTTGTGTGACTGGTTAGTTGTTAGTTTCTCTTGGTGTATCTTGTAAGGAGGAGAGTTCTGAACAAACTCATATTACTGAAAACTAAAATAGCTTCAGTGGAATTGAATTTGATTATTCTAAAGGTATCAAAATTTTTAAATATTTGGGTGAACTCTTGCTAGCATTTTAGGCATACCACATTTTTAAGCATGTGAAACAGTGAAATAGGTTTGTAGTGCTTTTCGGGGGGGGTTGTGCTGTTTTTAACATTACAAATACTCATTTGCAGGCAAAATGAGTGTCGCTCTGTAGTCCCTTGTGGTATGTAGACCTGGTTTGTACACCTGTTAAAAACACATCTTCCTGCATTCCACGCTGAAACTGTGGATCTGGTGGTGTGGGCAGCTCTCTGTCTTCTCTCTTGGGAGGGACTGGCATGGCACTTGGAGCCCACACAGGGCACCTCGGTCACTGCCTGATGACACTGTCTGCTCGGAGGTTTTGCTGAAACCTGTCCACGTAGCTAGGGAGTGAGATAACTCACCTGAGAGCCTCGTTTCCCCACTAGCTGCCAGCACAGCTATCCACCTGTGCTGCTGCACTTCCAGCCTTCACCAGCAGCCGAGCCACCCACCAGACTCTTGCCTGGCTCTGCCTTGTGTTTAACTGAGGCTTGTGTTAGAGGGGTAGGTGGCTGCCTTCTGCCTTATGTCAAACTGTGTTTTGTTTCTCCTTTTTTTGGGAGATATGAACAAGATAATTAGACTGTCTGGAACTGGGCATTGCTAGATCCTTAATCTGTGAAGAGGGCACCCGCTTCTTTCCCTGTGGCGTTTAGGAGAGTGGAGGTTAGACCTGACATTGACCTCTGAATGCTCCTGGAATATAAATTGAAACAAGCTATTATTGGGTGGCCAGAAGAGATGCAGCTCAAGTTTCTGTAGACAACAGTTTTGGGAGACCTTTGTTACTAGGGCAACACAGTTTCTCCTCCTCAGATGACAGTGTTGGCCGTGTCCCCTCTGCACACTGGTGCCCAGTGTGGGCAGGCAGCCAGGGCTGCAGTGCACAGACACACTGCTCCTCACTCTGTGTTCAAACCATCCATGCTGCTTGGAAGTTTCTGTATACATATTTGACATAGTAAGTAAGCGAGAGTGGTAGGTTGCATTAATCATTACACTCAGGGCTGGGAAAGAGGGTGATCCAGAGCATTATAAATGTCAAAGTATCAGAAATAGTGATTTCTGGTCTTGTGGAAGTGGCACAAGTCCTGTTCTCTTTTGAAACTGCTACAAAAGGAGGTAATTTAAGAAGCATGAAATGTTTAACTACCATGAGAACGGTTTTGCTCAGCAGAAATGCATGTCCCCCTTGAGTAGCTAGTAGTGTGGGCTTAGCTGACCGAGGACATAAAGATTGTTGCCACAGAATACATGAGGGGGTGTGTGTGTGTTTGTTTGTTTGTTTTGTAAAATAAGACAATCTGGAACAAGCTATGTTTACTGCAATAGAAGATCCTAATCTAATAAAGCTTGTAGACTGGGCTGTGTGAATGTGTTATAAATTCAGTAGTCATTCAATATATGCCTATTGCATGCACCATGACAAGTAGGTAGAAATTGCCTTGCAGTGTGGGTCTCTTACCAGGAACGTCAAGAAATGAGTGATTTTAAGATTTTTCTTATTCAGTGTTACTTTTCAGACAATAAGTCTAACTACACTGAAAGTAAAATAAAATTCTGCAGTATATGGTACAGCCATACTAACTGAGAAAATAAAAAAGCTTATCTGCGCTCCTGGGCAGACTCCCTGCACTGAGGGTGGCATGTGTTAAGTGCCAGTCATTGCAGCTTGCTTGGGGGAGAGAGCAGGGAGAAAAGAACCTCTTCTTTCTCCCTTGTTCCCTCTGTCCTTATTTTCTGGTCAAGTCAGAAGTGCTGGTGGAATACTGGCTGCTAGGAAAATCAGCTTAAAAATATAATTCCTAAAATAAAGTTGAAGAATCGTGCCACAGGGAAGTTAATGATGGGGGATAGAGAGGCATAAAATCAAGATATCTTTCAGTTATTTGGCATACCTGTGAACTAAGTGGGCCTGGTAATTTTGGACAATAATAATATAGTGATTTGTTACAGGTTTTTTTTTTAAAAAAAAAATTCATTTGATAATTGGTTTAAGACTTGCATTCTAGAGAAGTACAAATTTTATTGCCCATCTTACTGAAGACTTCTGTATTTTAATATATGTATCGCCCCGTTCCTCCAATTGTAGCTCCAGTTGTAGCTCCTACTTAAAGTAATTGGTATTCACATACATCTAGAGCTGAGTCTTCAAGAACATGTTAGTATATATGACTAAAATGGAGATAGGTTATTGAGAGATACTTTTGTTATAATAGAGAGTAAATAAGGAAGTAGACGGATGTGACAATATTTGGTTGCACCTTGCAGTAGACAGATCTACTGTGTATTAAAGATCTTACCAAGCTTTATGGGTTGTGCTTTATTTCAGGATAATGCCACCGATAACAGGATAATATCTGAGTCTTCTGAGATGAATGAATTTGAAACTCTTACTGCCAAGTTCCATTTTGTTGATCTAGCAGGATCTGAAAGGTTAAAGCGGACAGGAGCTACAGGAGAAAGGGCAAAAGAAGGCATTTCCATCAACTGTGGACTAGTAAGACTATAAAACTTGTTTCCATAGGCTGTTGGTACCATCCTCTCTTTCTTTTGGCATCACTTGTTTTTAATAGTCTCCAAAGTAGAAATGTATCATGTGCAGAACAAGGGTTGTAGCATGAGACTTAATAGCATGTATTGATTCTAACTAGATTCTGACTTGTAAACTTCTTCTCGGTTGTACTAGACCCTAACCAGTAAATTATAGTACTTAAAACTGTTGTGAAATACAGTTAGGTACTCAATTTTTTTAAAAATGCTATAGAGCTCCTTTCACTTCAAAAGTTTTTTTATTCTGTCAAGACCCAAACAACTGGAGAACATTACAAGTAGTTTGCAAGGAGTACAGGCATGTAGAATATGGACAATGAATAAGCTTAATGGATCAGTAAATGGTGATACTTTGTTATAGTTGTGAAACAAAATGTAAAATAACCCTAGACAAAACACTTCTAAGTAGAAACAAAGTTTTTAATTTATAGTATCACTTAGGTGGTTTTTTTGTTTGGTTTTGTTCTGGCTCTCTGTAGAGTTTTTAAAAAATTTATTGTATTAAATGCTTTATTTAACAACTACATGGAAAAGTAGAGCTGGTGATTATGAGTGGAAATTCTAGTTTCATGCCTTTGTTTTAAGCTACTTGGCTGTGTGGCAGCTCTGTGCAATTCTCTTTCAAAGATGCAAACCCATGTGTATTTTAGGTATGAAAACATCTTTTTTTTGTGGTCTAGTGTGTTGTACCAAAGGTATTCTGCAACTAGAATTTTCTTAGTGATGGTCTTGCCATTGTGACAGTGCTCATATTCTGTAATTTTTCTGGTTATATGATATGGAAGAGTAAGAGAATTCAGTTCAACTTCCTCACTGATATGAGCACAAATTCAAGAGGAATTTGGGGGTTTAGATAACATAGATGTATCATTAACAAATAAGATATGGAATATTACTTCATGTGAAGGTGAAAATCAGTGTGATAAAAGTAGTATTTTATAGGATTACAGAACTTTCATTTACAGTGAATTCCAGCTCTGGGCTTTGGGAAACAGATTGAAAGCGATTCAAACTCTTCACAGCAGTCACAGAACATGGTGTATATGCAGTTCTTCAGCTGCTGGATGCAGAAAGATGATTTTCAAGACTAAGAACTGGTTGTAGAGGGTGCCATCTAGAGGAATGTTATTTAATTTAGCAACGTGATTGAAATACACGTTAATGTTGCACATTAAAAATAATTTCACAGCCAAATGTTAAGTTGTTTATAAACACCAACTAGACCTTTTTAGCAATGAAATGGACATGATTGCAAGCCTTAAATGCTCAAGTCTTCATCAGGCATTCCTTATTTCATACCTGTAAAGGCAGTAAATTCTGGTTTTGTTTTTTTTTTTTTTTTTTCATATTAATGCCCCATATTTTATCTAAATCTGGCATAAAACAAGTTGATAAAACTCACTTAAGAATATAGCTACTGCTAGAATTAGAGATCAGCTTTAATAATTGTCGGAATTAAACGTTTATTACATAAAGTAGTTCTAACTTTAGTTTGCGACTGACATGAGATATCAACAGGCAGTACGTGCAAATTGTGCTGATCACTTAACACTCACACATACCAGACTGCAAGTCGTGCTTTTTTGTTGAGAGCACAAAAGTTTATATGTCTGCTGTAAAATGTAAACATTTTAAGTTGTTGTGATTTTGTTGTTGTTGTTTGGTTGGTTTTTAATGTTAACTTCTATGAGTATATTAAATTTTTTGCAATATAAAGACCCCAGTTTATAGCTGTTTTAAAAATAAAGCTACTCAGGAACTGCTTTTTAACTTGTGCACTACATGATTTGGTGTTTTATAGCTGGCCCTTGGCAATGTAATAAGTGCTCTGGGAGATAAAAGTAAGAAGGCAACTCACGTACCATACAGAGATTCAAAGCTTACAAGGCTACTTCAAGACTCTCTTGGGGGAAACAGGTATGAAAGCGAGAACATTTAATGCATTTTGTTGTGATTGAGCATGGAGGAGTACACAATATTCAGAAAGCAAAGTATTCATGGTTTTGGAAAGGGTTTTTATAATGTATAATATGAAAAATGAAAACTTTCATAACTTCCGAGGCAGGGTAGCAGTTTAAAAAAGTGGTAAAATTGGAGGAGTAGAACAGTTTAAAAAAATAGTAGTTCTACAATTCAGATAGGAAAATGGAGTTCAAATTGTTTGGTTCTCAAGACAGACAGCTAACAGAACCAGTCCTCTGTTTAGTATCAAGTAATCACATTCTCAACTGAAAGCACAAGTAGTCCTGATGTTAGAATTAAAAATACGTTCTTAATCTCACATATTCTTATTTTGAGGACTAAACTCAACGAGTTTGTAGAACTGACACAAAGGTATGTGGGAGGTCTGAGGAAGAACTGCTGAAACTGAATCTTCCTTGTATCCTCAGGCTAGTTACTTTTTCCACTTCAGTTTCCCACTGTATTTGGTGGAGGTAATTGTTTACCTCACAGAGGGTTGTCTGTCTTATTTGTTTTAGTCTGAAATTATAGAAAGTGAAGATGAGAGCCCAGTCTGCCTAATGGAAGTATTACTCTGTTGCCCTGGAGATAGTGCGCTTTTCCTAATGCAACCACCTAAGCTTTAACAGACAGCAGAGAAGCAAGTTCCTCTAAAGCCTGGAGGGGAGTATTCAGTCCATCAAATGTAGGTGTTTTCCCCTGAGGATTAGGCCATGTAGGCACCTTCAAGAGTATGATCTAGAGCTCTGTTTCTAACCCCTCTTGGTTGTTCTCATCTGACGTGAAGTGAATGTGCTCCAGGGAGTGAGGGAAGGGACTCTCCTTTCTCCATCTGCCTGTTGAGTGATGAAACCATTTGGTTGAAAAGAATTTTTTTTTGTTTTGGCTTTTTCTGCTTTTGTCCCACTGGTTCATGCTAGTCAGCCTGCTTAGTTTTCCATTTAGAGCAGGGAGTATATTCTCACCCTCCCATATCCCATGATGGAATGACTAGAAGGTGTTGTAGGAACCTGAAAGGAAGACGCTTGTTCATCTCTCTCTTGGTTCTAGAATTTGTTTTCTCCTGCTTTTTGCTGAAGTGCTCTAAGCAGTGATGTTATGAATCATGGAATAAATACAATTAGAGACAGATGTACTAAAGGTAGGTAATAGCTTTTGGGCTCCTGTTGGGGAACGGAGATAATTTGCAGTGGAGAATTCAGGCAGTTTGGATCTCAGTAGAACCTGAGCAGAAAAAAGGTACCTAGGCAGGCATGGACAGCTAAGATGAGCATTCAGGTAATGTTCAGGTTAAGTAGATAGGCACCTCAGGAATTAGAGTAGGCAGTCCTGACAACTGTGTGATCCCAATCACTGTCCAGGACTTTAGGTTGACCTTAAGGACTTAAATCTTTGTTTCTGTACAATTAGGCAAACTGAATATAATTTGAATCATAGAATCATAGAATGTCTGGGCTGGAAGAGACCTCCAAAGGTCACCTACTCCAACAGCAGGGACATCTCCAACTTGATCAAGCTACTCAGAGCTTCATCCAGCCTGATCTTGAATGTCTCCAGGGATGGGGCCTCCACCACCTCTCTGGGCAACCTATTCTAGGGATCTATCATGCTCATACTGAAGAACTTTTTCCTGACGTCTAACCTAAATCTTCCCTTTTCTAGCTTAAAGCCATTACCCCTTGTCCTGTCACTACAAACCCTTGTGAATAGTCCCTCCCCTGCTTTCTTGTAGGCCCCTCTCAGGTATTGGAAGGTTGCTATAAGGTCCCCCTGGAACCTCCTCTTCTCCAGGCTGAACAACCCCTACTCCCTCAGCCTGTTCCCATAGGAGAGCTGCTCCAGCCCTCTGATCATTTTTGTGTCTCTCCTCTGGACACGTTCCAACAGCTCCACGTTCTTCTTGTGCTGGGGGCTCCAGAGCTGGACACAGGACTTCAGATGAGTCCTCACCAGGGCAGAGTAGAGCGGCAGAATCACCTCTCTCCATCTGCTGGAAATATTTGAAAAATATTTCTAGGAACACCAATTAACTGCTTTATAAGTTTACAATCATTAAGGTTGGAAAAGATCTCTAAGATCAAGTCCAACCACCACCCAGCACTACCATGACCATTAAACCATGTCCCAAAATGCCACATCTACACGTTTTCTGAACACCTCCAGGGATGGTGACTCCACCACCTCCCTGGGCAGCCTGTTCCAATGTTTCACCACTCTTTCAGTAAAGAAATTCTTCCTAATATCTAGTTGAAACCTCCCCTGGCACAACTTGAGCCCATTTCTTCTTGCCCTATCACTAGTAACCTGGGAGAATAGACCAACACCCACCTCACTGCAAGTTCCTTTCAGGTAGTTGTATAGAGCAATAAGGTCTCCCCTCAGCTTTCTCTTCTCCAGACTAAACAATCCTAGTTCCTGCAGCCACTTCTCACAAAGCATGTTCCCCAGACCCATCACCATCTTTGTTGCCCTTCTCTGGACCCGCTCCAGCACCTCAATGTCCTCCTTATACTGTGGTGCCCAAAACTGAACCCAGTACTCAAGCTGTGGCCTCACTAGGGCCGAGTACAGGCGTGTGATCGCTTCTCTACTCCTGCTGGCCACACTGTTTTTGATACAGGCCAGGATGCTCTTGGCCTTCTTGGCCACCTGGGCACACTGCTGGTTCATGTTCAACCAGCTGTCCACCAGCACCCCGAGGTCCCTTTCTGCCAGGGAGCTTGCCAGCCACTCATTCCCAAGCCTCTGTAGCATTGCCTGGGGTTGTTGTGACCAAAGTGCAGGATCTGGCTCGGATCTCCTATGAAAGGGGAGATCAAGATGCAGTAGCACTGAACTTCGTGGTTGATGGTTTTCTACTGTGAGTTAGATCAATGAATAGTTTTGTAAATGGTATGAAGTTGCTATTTTTGTTTCACCTTCTACCTGAAGCCCTGTTAGCTTCTCTCTATTCTTTGTTCCTGATGTGCAATGCTGACTTATGTTTCTGCCTTCCAGTCAAACGCTCATGATAGCCTGTGTGAGCCCCTCAGATCGAGACTTCATGGAAACCCTGAACACACTGAAGTATGCCAACCGGGCGCGGAACATCAAGAACAAGGTGGTGGTTAATCAGGACAGGGCCAGCCAGCAAATAAACGCTCTGCGCAGTGAGATCGCACGGCTGCAGATGGAACTCATGGAGTACAAAACAGTAAGTTGGTCCTCTTAGGATTTTCTCTGGTTTAAGATGCTTATAGTTCTACAGCTTGTTTTTCTTTTGGCTGCTTCCAGTATACACAGTAAAAAATGTGAATAGCAATAATTTAAACAACACTTCTAATTCTAGTCGTATCCATATGTTTTTAGAAAACTTAGATTGCATCACCAGAGAAAAGGTACATCAACGAATGCCAATGACCTCAACAGAAGGTGCACGCTGTTGGCTTTGTGAAAAGCAGAACCTGACCTTGTCAGGCTCAGCAATGAGCAATAGTCACTTGTAAAGCAAGAGTGACCACGGTTTAGATTGGCACATAAACAAATAAGTAGTTACTGTGTATGGCTTTTAAGAACTTACCATACAGTTCAAAAACAAGTTGTGTTTTAGAAATACATTTTAAATTATATGTGAATACTCATACTGCACAATACCCATTTCTTCCTGAAATTGAAAAAAATAATCATTTCAGCAATAAAAGTGGTTACCAAACAGTATCCTCTTCTTTTGTTATCCTTAAGGATAGTATCCTGATTTGATAAAGAAGTGTCTTCTTATTTCTTTACTGCTTAAAGAACTTGTATTTCAGACTAAGATGGAATTACACAGGAACCAAATGCTAAGGTGTTTTCCAGACATGAGTGTTTTGAAAACTATTCATTTATCCATTGTTTTAAACTTTCTGAGAGAATTTTATCTTTTGCTATACCATGTATATTTGGAAAGTCAAGTAATCTGTGAATTGACTTTGCGAAGTTAAACTTTTTTCATAAGTAAACCAACCTTTAAATAGTAGTAAAATATGTTTACTTTCTTCAGGGTAAAAGGATTATAGATGAAGAAGGTGTTGAGAGCATCAATGACATGTTTCATGAAAATGCAATGCTGCAAACAGAAAACAACAACCTGCGTGTCAGAATTAAAGCCATGCAAGAGACCATTGATGCTCTGAGAGCCAGAATAACACAACTGATGAGTGATCAGGCCAACCAGGTGCTAGCCAGAGCAGGTATGCTGTGCATGCATGGTGCATAAACTGCTTCCTGAATTCATGAACTTAAATTGGTCATGTTCGTGCTTCATGGGTACCTTAGAATGATGTTATGCCTTTTTACCAGAAATGTAGGGCGTCCTTTGGCAGGGGTAGGCTCTCATCTGTTTCTTTCCTTGGTTTTTGGAGACTCCTATTAATAGAAATAGTTTTGTGTCCTGGTTTGACCACTCATTTAGGACTATAAGCAACATGAAATCTGAAATAATGTATTTGGATAGGAATTGTATGCTTAAACTACACGTGGACTTAAATATTTTGCTTTAGATGAGGACTTGGACACACATGGGTGAATGTTGTCTTGCTTTTCACTTCATAAAATAGCTAACCAATTGACTTACCATGATGGTTTTGTTCTTTTTGTGCACTGTTGGTCGGGTTACTCTTGATTTATCATACATGCATTGTTAAGAGGTACTAATATGGAAAACAAATGGAATAGAAAAATTGACTGGTAATAATCCTGGTGGTATGACACAGAGGAACCAAAAACTTAATGCAGCTTAAGCAGGAAATATATTTTGCAAATCAGAAAAGTTCTAAATGTGTAGCCCATATGACTGTTTTTCTTTGCTGGTACCTTGTGCTTATGCCTAGTAGCTATATTCAGATATTTATACTGTTACTATCTATTCTTAATCTTTCTCTTTTTTTTTTTTTTTCTCTCACACCCCTCCCTCCCCCCTTTTCTCTGTCCTTCAAAGGAGAAGGAAATGAAGAGATTAGCAACATGATTCATAATTATATCAAGGAAATTGAAGATCTCAGGTATTTGCATGATATGTATTTAAAGAATGTTTATTAAAACTTAAAAATAAGTGTTTGTAAGTAAATACTTCAGCTGTTTTCCAGTGTGGGGATTGATTTAGGACAGTGGTCCTTCAGCTTCTAAGACCATCTGGTCTTGCTTTTGGCCACAAAAAATTAAAAAGTTAAAGATGAAGCTGACAATAGAAATGAAAATAAAATTTTGCCTACATAATGATCATGACTTGATATTGTTGCGTAAAGGACAGCAAAACTTGGAACAATCGTTTTACAAATTCATCACCTGGTACATAAATTATAGTACTGAGAAATAACTTCTTACAATTGAGTGTTAAAAGCACCTTTCTTTTTAAATTAAAAAAGTATTAAATATCTTTAGAGACTTTAATTTTTTTGCATGATACACCTCCAAGAAACAGTGAAATAAACTGGCCTATTCCCAGTTAGTGTGTGTAGCTTTTGTGTAATGTGTAAGTACATACAGCATATGCAGATATGCATCTGTGTTTATATTTATGCAGACACATTTATATGTATTCTGTCTAGGGTGTATGATATATGTACAATATGCAGAACTGTTGGGTGAAATGGTCTCATAGGTATTTACTACACTTGTATTTTGTGAAACTTTACCTTGGTCTGTAGTGTCTTTGTAAACTGAAGGTAATGCATTGCACTTACAGGTGCTAAAGAGTATCCATCTCACACATTGGCAATGCTTGTGATTTATAGTCTACAATTTTAATATATTTTTTTTTAGAGCAAAATTGTTAGAAAGTGAAGCAGTGAATGAAAATCTTCGACGCAACTTATCAAGAGCTTCAACGAGATCCACGTACTTTGGTGGTCCATCAGCATTTTCTGCTTCTATGCTTTCTTCAGAGAAAGAGACAATGGAAATTCTAGACATAGCCAAGAAAGATCTAGAAAAGCTGAAAAAAAAAGAAAGGAAAAAGAAAAAGAGGTGGTGTATAAATTATAATGATATTTGTTTTCTCCTTATAGTTAAGAGTGTATTTTTTTTAACCACTGAAACTTAAAAATTCATTTGTTGCTGTGTGGGTTTGGATCCTAAACTGCTGCTCCTTCAAACTCTTTTACATGTTGAAGTTATAGGTGTTTTTCTTTTGCATCTTTTCTTCCAGTGAAGTATGCAGTATTTATAGAATGAATGTCTGTGTTGTAATGGATTTTTCTGTAAACTATGCACAATGGTAAAAGCACAGGTGCTCTTGTTGATATTAAAAAAGAAAAAAATTTAAAAAAATGCATCTGAAATTCAACAGAAGTTTCTGAAAACAGAAATTACAAAATTTCCTGTACTGTGTGTCAAAACTGAAACAACTTTCTGAAGAAAAGAAATTCTGAATAACTGGGAACACTTTGGTAGCTCTTGGAATGGCTTCTTTTGCTTTATCTTCTGCATTTATGAATGTTTTTAATTTGATGTTTCCTAATTTTCTGCAGCATCATGCTTTGCTGGTTTTTGCTGTCCAGCTTCTCACCTACTAATATGCTCATAGACATTGATATAAATGCCTGTCCAGACAGCAGTTAGTACAGCGAGGATCTGTTTGTGTACTCTGAGACTGGAGCCATTAGAGATCTTTTTCCCTTTTCCTTGAAATTTTCCACACTTCTGATCTCTTTATGCTAAAGGCCCTTCAGACTTCAATTTAAAAGAGTATAAGACAGAAATACTGTTGAATGATAAAGTACATTTGAGTTAGTAGTATCTGTAATTTGAGGTCATGTATCTATAAATCCATTCACCACACAAATATCTGATACTTGTAGAGAACACTCATTTTAATAACAACTAGATTCTTCCTTAGCATATAATTTTTCAGGAAACTCTTACACTTGTATGGGAATTGTGATAGGTTTTTGTCTCGTATTTGTAGGAACTTGAGGAGAGAATGGAATTTCAAATGAAACAAGCAGAATGTTCTGGGCTGTCTTCAGTCAAAGACTTTAATATGTTTTTTTAACTGTAAATGCCAGAACAAAGAGATTTAATTTTATGTTTCAACACATTTTAAAATCAAGAATGCATTTAAATACATGCTTAGATAGAGCCCCAGTTGTGAGGTTGGGACCTGAATATTAGGTAGCAGATAGATTTGTGACCGGAAAAAAGGTAAATTACTAGTTATATGGAGAAATATCTCTTATTGCAGGAGATGATCACTTAAAGAAAAATTGCAAGTTTTACCCTATATACAGTAGTAAGTAAAACATATGTTTGTCTGTTTTGTGGGTTTTCTTGTGTGTTTGTTTTTCTGAAAACACAGTCCAGTCACTTTCTCACAGCAGCACAATGATTCTGTGAATGGGCTAGCCAAGTGGTCTGATCCACAAGTAGGGACCACTTGTCATAAACTATTTTTGAGATCAGTTTTCTATCCTACCATTATAGAATAAGAGAACCACAGAAAAAATTAAGTTGGATGAGACCTGTTGATAGATCACCCTCCATCTTAAAGTAGGTCTTATGTTTTACAGAATGGGATCATACTCTTCAAAGTGCTGGTAAGGTTTGAATCTACCTCCTGGCCCATCTGTGGACTGCTTTGTAATATTTCTGAGGTGCATATGTTAGGAAAAAAAGTCCTTAGAGGCTAAGGAATGTTAGAATTTGAGGGATTATGCATACAGCTTGTCATACTTGTTACCTGTAGAGTGCTTCTGTCTAAGTAATGAAGCTCAAAGGCTGTGTTCAGGATATATCTCTATGAATTCTTCTTCTGTTGAAATTTCAGGATTTGGCAATGGGTATGTTCACGTGTTGTGAAGGGACAATTTACCCTCCAGTTTGGTAGGGATTCTTTGCTCTACTTCTGTCTCCTACAGGCATTTAGCTGCTTTTACTGTACTATTTCTTTTTAGGGTTACTGTTCTTTTACAGTTGTCTAACTAGCATTTTCCTATTAAAATGGCATTGGTAAGTCTAGTTACTAGTTCTGCCCCATCTACTCTCTTTCTTGATCTGCTTGTCTCCCGGCTATGGGTCAGTATGATGAAAGGTGCATCATTTTAAATACGTGCAACTTAACTAAATTGTTGTGAGCTAGCCCGAAGATCTAAGAGCCAGTTTCTGAATGAGCAGCACGTATGTACTGCTATAAATCTGTAGCCTTTAATAAGCATATGCCATAAAGTTTGTCAAAAACAATTGACACAGCAGTAATGTTTTGGCTATTGAAATACATGGTCAATTGGAGTGTCCCACAGTGTGACCTACTCACCAGAAGCTCCAGAGCAGACCTCCCACATCCCTTTCAATCATTAGTCTACTTTACATACCTAGTAACCTTTTTTGACTTGTCTTTTGACTTCCATAACCTTAATTAAATTAAATTAGTGATAAAATTACATGGAGTTCAGCATATTCACTCCTAACTGATAATGAAGGAAGATGGCATATAAGGTGAAAAGGCAGCAAAAGCTCTTGCTCACAACTTGCTCATAAAAAGATCGTGAGGAATTTCAGTAGGTTAAATTTAAGTCATCTCTATGCTTTTGTGTCATGCAGACATTTCTTTAAAAATACATCCACATTTGTTCAAGAGGAAAAATTACAAGTAAAAATACTAACAGTTTGTCCATCTCATTGCTTCTGATGCATATTTTTGTTAATTAATTAAAAAAGTAACAAGCAATCATGAGCATGTACTTTTTAAATCCCAGAAAAATAAACCACAGTTTTGTGCTTTTTATTTAAAAACAAAACCTGAACCCTTAAACAAACAAACAAAAGCAATTTGAAGATTTTTATATTAATTATATTCATAATATATTATTTAGAATATTAGTAATAAGATTTTCTCAGTACTATTTTATATTAGAATATGTTATCATTACATATAAAAGTATTGCATTGGTTTTTTTTTTTCCTGATATATTCCTGAGGATATATAACTTTGATTCAATGGCAGAACTTCTTGCAATGTTTAGTATTTTACCTGCCAATTTTCAGAGGAGAGGAGAAAGGTTCTTCTATAACTAATATTTTTTTTAAAAAAATCCATATTAGAAATAATTCTCAAAGTTAAATATATTGTCTATATCTAAAACCTCTTCCATAGTGTAACTTGAATTTACAGCTGTTGACAGTGACAGATTAGTTAACCTACAAATGCTTCTCCCTTGTTTTCTGTTTACTTTCCAACTGTACAAAATGTATTGCCTTTTTACTACTTGTTGTTTCTTGATGGTATCTTTTAAAATTTTGTTTTGAAGTCCACAAGCTCATATATCATTTTTTTACCTTCTTATCACTTTTGCTTTTCACTGTCTGGTTTGTCCTTCATTGGCTTGGCCTTCCAATACTGTACCTCGTGCTTTTGAAGGCTACAGAAACTTGAGGAAAGCAGTCAAGAAGAAAGAAGGTTGGAATATTTCCCAGGTTTTTAATTACCTGTCATTTCAATTAACTGATTTTCATACATGAAAAGAAGTGGGGCAGTATCATAGGTACTTGAAGAGTAGTTAATTTGACTTTTCAATTCTTTCCTGTGTTTTGAGCTTCAATAAGTGTTTTTACTGGAATAAACCTCTGTTGTGGAGTTGAGGTTGACTTTGGGATTGCAATGTTGAGCAAGTGTTTGTGGGGAGGTGGTGCCTTTGGGATTTGCTATAGAATTAAGTAGATTCTGTCTTGCATGACCTGTATGGGATGAAAGGCAGAAGGAGGTGGTTGTAGCTCACATGGTATGAAATGTGTAGCAGGCAGTATACAATAATAATTATTTTGGCATGTAGGATCTTGGACCTTCACACCTCAGTTAAGTCTCCTTCTTTTATTATTGAAAGCATGTGACTAAAATCTTGACTATTCCTTCCATTCAGTTTCAGCAAAAGCAGTAAATAATTAGTCATAAGCAGCAGTTACAGGCTCTAAAAAGAGAGATATACTGACATTAAAAATGGAAGTAAAGGAACTTTTGTTTTTCAGCTGTCTACTTTGGTCCAAAAATCCCCACTGAATTAATGCAGAATATGCAAAGCCACAGATCAGTAGCACACAAATTAAGCAATACAGTTCTGCCTGGGAGAACTGCTGGCTCTCTTTCCTCCTGTTTCTTCCCTTTATCAGGCAGAACACGAATTCTCTGTAGTGGTTAGCTCTGTGCTGTGTGCCCACAGGAGGCAAACCGGGGATTTGCCTCAATCTGCATGAAGACTTGCAGCTAAGATCTGTTATTGTTTATGCTCATTAACCAACGTAAACCAGAACGTGTTGTGGGCTGAGTGAGATGAGAATCTGTGGAAATGAGATAATGTGGCTAACCTTGCCTCTTTGGCACTTTTTTTGTGTACAAATCTGGTTAGGCTTTTTAATTCCAGCCTCCCTGGCTACTGCATGGATTCAGATTGTCCAAGCAAAAGCTGCCTGCCTTGCACATGGTCAGCTGTCGCTGGATTTAGTTTCAGTGGCGATGAGTGGGGCAGAAGGAACCAGCCGGCACTGAGCAGGTTAAAAAAAAATTAGTATAACGAAAAATCGTGTGTGTGAAGAAGCACTGTGTGACTTAAAACTAGAGCTCTGCTCTAAAAGTAGCTGTCAGTGGAGGAAGAGGCACATTTCTAGTTATCCGGCCTGACCAGTGACAGCACATAACTTGCCAGACTTCCATGCAGCTGAAGTTAGGTGTGGTAGGTTCCACATTACGCATTCCTAGCCACTTTTTTTTTGTTATTACCCACTGTGGTGTCTAGCTGTGCTCTATCACAATTTCCCATCTATTTGGGATGGTTTGCATTTTGCACATAGTGTTAGAGGGATTGGCATTTGGAACGTGACAATTTGCAGAGTGCCATTGATTTTTTGATTTTCATATGATGTCTCAAATACGCACGAAAAAACATTAAAACTCATCCTAATGGCTCAGATACCAATCCTTTAAACAACACAAAACAAAATTCTGCTGTAATTTTCATAAGCCAGCACTACAGTTCAAGTTGCCAAGAGAGGAAAGAATACACACAGATACTTGAATCTTAAATAAGTTTTGAACCATAGTCTGAAAAACAAAAGCATGGAAACCTATGAAAATGTAATTTTAATGGCAGGGAAAAGTTTCTTTTGAGATGACAGCCTTATTGGAAAAGTTTGGTATTTCTTGACTCCTTTGTGATGTTGTATCAATTCCTATTTTGAGCATTGCCTTGATGTCAAGGTAGATAGCTGATCAGAAAAGCAGTTATAATATGATAAATTAGAATATTGTTTAAGGTTTATACGTACACTTTCAGATGTTTGTAAGCACCGTAGGCTCTGTTACAGCTTGAGAATGTAGTAATACCTGTAATGTGTGTTGTACCTGCACATAATGTTCTTCCTTTGTTTTGTAAAAGCTGTTCTGGGTACACTGCAACTTCCATGCAAAATGAGTACCGCTGTAGTATGTGAAGATATGTATTCTGATTGTCACAGTTGTGCAGAATGCCCTAAAACAATATGCTAACCATTAATATTATTTTGCATGCTAATATAAAGAGTTAATCATTATTTGATTATCTGCGGGTGTTTGGAAGTTGTTTCACCCACGCCCAACACCTATACCTTTGTCTAACTATGCTTTGGTTTTCATCTTTATTTGGAATTACAATTTATTGGTTTGGGGGATGGGAAGCACATGCCATTTCAGTTTGTAAATGTTTTGTGTCTGTGCCTCTTCTGCCAGTGTTAAAGAGGATAACACAGATAACGAGCAGGAGAAGAGAGATGAAAAAGGCACTTCGGAGAGAGAGAATAATGAATTGGAAGCAGTAAGTATTTAGATGTTTGGTTTATTTGGTCATTGTCTGTTTAAAGTTTTACAAGGCCATAGAAAGAAAAGTAAGAATGGGACAGATGAGTACTGTGGCTTTATAGTGATAGTCATAAGTGACAGGGTGATGGAAAAGTGTGGCAGTACTTGAACTTCTTTCTATTTTGTATATTTTTTAGGAGGAAGTTCAAGAAGTAAGTGATCATGAGGATGAAGAAGAGGAAGATGATGAGGATGAAGATGATATGGAAGTTGTTGAAAGCTCTGATGAATCAGATTCTGACTCTGATGAAAAAGGTCAGTGCAATATTTTGTAGAATTTTGCAAATACCATCTGTCATTGCTTGGGTTTTTGGTAGGCAAGATAGCATATTGTCAACCCACTGTCCATAACTCTTGGTGGACTGTATGTCTAGTGAATTCTTTCTTGGTTATGGTGCTAAAACATGTAATAAACGTCTGATCAAGTCCTCATACTGGCTTTAAAATTGACCAGAGGCTATCAGGTGTTTGATAACATTTCTTGCTTTGTTAGAATATGCAAAGTATGAGGTTTAAGTACTGGATTACTTTTACATCTTAGGACTAATCATGAAGGTAATAGCTTCCATTCAGTTAATTTGGAAATGAGTAGACTTTAATTTTGGAAGGCTAGAAGTACATCAGCTTTCCTCATTTTCCTGTGGCACATAAGTTAGGACTTTTAGAGTTAGAGACAGCATCACCAGCAGTTCTTTCTTGTGAATTGGGACAAACTGACAAACTAAGACTGGTTTCTTCTTGTCTGAGAGTCACACAAACCATTAGCAGGAGTTGCAGAACCAGGAAAAAAAAATCCTCAACCAACATCTTTATTCTGGAGCACATACTCTTAAGCCAAAAAAGGACCTAATTGACTAAATAAATTAATTTTAATTTATTATAAACTTGTGGGTTTTATAAGCGTGTGGGGTAGTGCTTTTCCCTTACTTTTTCCTCCTGCTTTTCTTATTCCCTTCACCATTCCATTTCCACGATTGAGGTGACTCCTCTCTTCTCAGAATTTTGGCTGTATCTTTCCAAGATCTAGAGAAGGGAAAGTCTGCCCTTGGAGTCTGTCAGCAGTCAAATTTTCCTTTTACAACCTATTTGGTTTATGAGTGACAGTTATTCTCCAGCCCTGAGGTGTGATTGAAGTCTCTCAGCCTTTTGTACAGGAAAGGACAGATTGCTGATGTTGAGATTTAAATGTGAGTAATTGGAGCTTATGGAGAAACTGTGATCCAATGAGAGACATTTTTCCATACCTCTTTCCCATCTCTGGAGAGTGTTTAAGGAGGAGACTTTATCATAAGTTGCTGATAATAGTTTTGCATGCTGCATTGTGCTTCGTGTAGAAATCTTCTATGCGTAATTTACATGCCAAGAAATGACCTTAACCTTGCAGGGGCCATCTATATTTATATGATCCTTGCTGTTACTTTATCAGAGGTCTTAATTTTTCATTACTTAAATCTTTTTATTTTAGAAAATTATCAAGCTGACCTGGCAAATATCACCTGTGAAATCGCCATTAAGCAGAAACTGATCGATGAGCTAGAGAACAGCCAGCGAAGGTTGCAAACACTGAAAAAACAGTATGAAGAGAAACTAATGATGCTACAACATAAAATTCGAGACACTCAGCTTGAAAGAGATCAGGTCCTTCAAAATTTGGGTAAGAAGAAAAAGTATCATTTAAATCTAGATGTTGTGTAAGACTGAGGTATTAAAATTGAAATTTTTGCTCCTTCCCTCACTTCCTTTTTCAACTGTAATAAGAGACTGCAGAAAACAGACATAGTTTTGTATCCATAATGCCAGTAAATCATACTTTACTCATTCTAGTGTCTACCAGAACCGAGAGAGGTTTTTCAAAAGGATACTGCTATTGACAGGTATTTGATTTGGTTGAAAAAGCATTTTTAGTTTTCTGGGAGCTCTCATTTTAACATAATCCTTGACATATTTCCTAAATTAAAAACTCTTTTCCCACTCCCTTTTCCCCCCCTCTTTCTTTTGATTTGCATAAAAATAAGAGCTTGGGTCAGTGACCTTTCAGAGATATGTTACTGATGGAACTTTTCAATATCTAATAGTAGTATGATGAAAACCTAACTCAGTTTCAAGAAGACCTAAGCCACAAATAGTTGAACTTTGGGGCAGTACTGGGGAAAGTGTTTTGTTTGTTTATTTCTTTTAAAAAATATACTATACATGCTTTAGCGTTATATACTCTATATGCTTTAGCTGTTCCCTTATTCTTCCTTAGGCCTTTCCTCTTGGTCAGTGCCAGATATTAGGCTTGATGTATCTTGGCACTGTTATGATCTTGTGCACATGTGTGGACAAGTGTGTGTGTATCTGTGTCTTCATGTGTTCCGATATTTGTTGTTTAGTGCAAAGAAATCAGAAGGAAAGTGTTAGTACTTGATCTCTTATTCAAGAATGTATACAAGGTGGACGGTTTGAAGCAGTGCAAGTAATAGGAGCTAGAGACAAATTAAATTTTCCATAGATATTGCAGATAATGCCAAAAGCAGAGGAAGCAGGAAGCTAAGTGAAAATATCTGGAACAAATTCAGATTGAGAATTCCCTTTTGCTCTAGGTTCTGTAGAGACCTATTCAGAAGAAAAGGCAAAAAAAATCAAGTCAGAATATGAAAAGAAACTCCAAGCCATGAATAAAGAACTGCAGAGACTTCAAACAGCGCAAAAGGAACATGCACGACTGCTTAAAAATCAGTCTCAATATGAAAAGCAACTGAAGAAATTGCAGCAAGAGGTGACAGAGATGAAGAAAACCAAGGTATATTTCAGTACATTGAAGTATTGTACAATGAGCATTGACTGAAAAACAAGTTGAAATCCTCTGTGCTTTATCTACCAGATAACTCTGTTCTTGCTGTCAGCTGGGTTAAAGTCTGAAAACAGGAAAGATGTGAAGACTGTGAAGATATGAACGTTGTTCCTGGGTGAGAGGGGTGGCTTTTAGGTTTAATGAACAGAAATTACGGCATCAAAGGTGGAGAAGCTTGTACTATTTGTTAGATGTTATTCAGCACTGAGTGAAGAAGACACATTAGATGAAGGACATAAATTGCTAAAAGCATGTAATATACTGGAAGATGGCAATATGAAAAAGAAACTTGTCTAGAAAGGGGCAGGGATCAGCAATTCAGTGTAAATAGCTTTTCTAAGTGATGCCCTCTTTACAGGTTCGCTTGATGAAACAAATGAAAGAGGAGCAGGAGAAAGCTCGAATGACTGAGTCTAGAAGAAACAGAGAGATTGCACAGCTTAAGAAGGAGCAACGCAAACGAGAGGTGATTTAACAGACGAAGCTTTCATTTGGAAGAAGCATCTGTCGTTATGATGCGCATTTGCTTGCAGGCACACGCTGTGTGTGTATGTGCATTCACTGAGGCAGACATGTACCTGTATATTTTTACCAGTCACAACGCACATAATTTGGTTTGATTTCTACGCTGAGTTCCTACCTTCAGGTGATAAGTGCAACAGAAAATAGAAGACTTATTGAATATGTATATAAGTATTATTTCATTAGTGAATCTTCACAAAACTGTTGTTATCATCTTGTTTGCATGCAATCTTCTGATAGAGAACTGATACAGTGAAACACTTATTTTCATTCTGCACTAGAAAGAGCAAGAAACAATTGCCACTTTACCACTTCAAGTCACAACAGTTTTGCAAACTTATGTTAGTGTGTAAAGGGACTTTTTTTTTTTTTCCTGTTTTTAGTATAATATAGTCCTTGTGGCAGGTAATGGAAAAAATATTATGTGCTGCTTGTTTTTTTTCACAGCATCAACTCAAGCTCCTGGAAGCTCAGAAAAGAAATCAAGAAGTTATCTTACGTCGCAAAACTGAAGAGGTATCGTGGTAAAACAGTAATACATCTTTGAAAACAGAATGATGCTGTACTGCTGTCGTAGAACGCAGTTCTGGGGAGGGTTAACCATGTCCCTGTACTCTGTTTCAGGTTACAGCCCTTCGTCGGCAGGTAAGGCCTCTGTCTGATAAAGTGGCAGGAAAAGTAACTCGAAAGCTGAGCCTGCCTGAGCATCCTATACAGGAAGCAACTTCTAGCTCAGCAGTTGAGCATGATGGTTCAAGAACATCAGTACAGCAGAAGATGAGAATTCCTGTTGCGAGGGTTCAAGCATTATCTGTAACTGCAACAAATGGAACAGGGTAAAGATTAAAACTGTTTTGTATTCTTTTAAAGAAAATTGAAAAATGATTGGACTTTCTAGCAGATAATCTTGTGATGATACATATTGCAATAGTCATATTTTTCAAACTGCTCATAAAATGGACATTTTATGATACTCACATGCAATTTGAGTTTTGTGGGTTTAAGGCAGTGTGGAATAGTATCAAACTGCGTTAAAGAACAAGTCACATGAACTGGATTTTAAAATTTTGGAGTTTCTTAAACTACACATAAAGAGGAGTGTCCTTGGTGCTCCAGTGCCTGCAGCATTCTGAAGTACAAAGGAAAAATAGTTGGAAAACACATTTTAATGTATTAGGTTTATTGGTGATCTTCCACTGTGGTTTGAAGCAGAAGTCCTTGTTAAAGAGGGACCAACTCTTAGGTGCATTTGATGTCAGTGGTGTGTCATACCAGGTGCCACAGCGTTTGATACCTGTTTTTCATATGCACTGTATCAGAGCACAGTGGAGGTCAGGGCTGGATTCATGTACCTGTATGGAGCAATGAAACACTGCAAGAAATTCTGCAAGGAATTTTTGAGTTGTCCATGAAAAATACTCTGGCTTGAACATTTTCACATTCAAAGGCATAACTGGAGTACTTTAGACTTAGCTGTATGTTTCTCTTGAATTGACCACAGAAAGAAGTATCAGCGGAAAGCAGTGACAAGCAGAGTTTACTCCTCAAGGGCTGCCAGGATGAAGTGGCAGCTTCTCGAACGCAGAGTGACTGATATCATTATGCAGAAGATGACCATTTCCAACATGGAGGCAGATATGAACAGGTTACTCACGGTGAGTGATCCACTATGCACTGTTGGCTCTACCATCATGTTAAATAAAGAGAGCACTGCATTTACATTTGCTGAAAAGGAATTTCTGTCGTGATGGCATAGGCAAAGTGATTTGAAGTCCGTCGCAGTCAATGAAGACACTCAACCCTAGCAAGCATTTTGAAATGGGATTTCTGTGCCTAGTGAGAAACAAAAAGCACATTAACACACACAAGCATGTGCAAATATATTAATATATTCACCTGTAGAACTCCTTCCTATAGAAATCATGATATGTTAATTGAAGTATAATGAGGAAAGGAAAACAACAACTAATAACAAAAAGGCATTTAAATGCCTAAAGTTTTAACTAATTTCCTTTTGATGTAATATTATGTCTTTGGGCAAAGTAGCAACGTGAAGAACTTACAAGAAGAAGAGAAAAGCTTTCAAAGAGAAGGGAGAAGCTCATCAAGGATGGAGGTGGCAGTGAAGTGGATAGAAATGTCCAAAACATAAATGAAGAGATGGAGTCGCTAACTGCAAATATAGACTACATTAACGACAGCATTTCTGACTGCCAAGCAAATATTATGCAAATGGAGGAAGCAAAGGTGGGTCAAATAATGATGCAAAAATAGTAAAACAGGGAAAAGAAAAGCCAACTGTGTTAGCCTTGAAAATGTTCTCATTTAGAAATTAGTTTTGTTTTAGCTGTATAATTATTGAACCAGGAAGTGAAAATTGGTGAAAACTTGGATGAAGTTACAAATGAAGGGTGTTTATGCAACTGAACTTCTAGATCTTAGTGTTAATGTCAAGAGTGTAATGCAAGTTAAGATTGTAAAGCATTTAAATGTCAAAGCTGATGCTTTCTGTTCTGCTGGCATTAAATTAATGTCATTTTGGGGACTGAAGTCTAGCAGCCTGTATCCTCTTCCTGCATCTGTTGATATGCTTCCATACCCTTGTGTTGATTTTGTATACTTTACGTAAATTCTCACATACAAGAATATATTTAAATATATTTAAATTATTCATATTACATTTTAGTATATTTTCAGTTATAGAACAATGACTTTCTATAACTAAAGAAACTTTTCAGGCAAAGTTGCTTGTTTGGGGTTGACATTTTCAAACAATAATTCAGTAAAAAGTAATTGTCTGTTACGAGTGATGTAGAAATTTGAATGTTAGCAAGTGCAGTGAAAACCAAATATGAAAACTCATTATAATGAGCATCACACCTTACATGATCTAGCAGGAAGAATCCATCACGTACAGTCTCCTGGGTCTCTTGGCACATGGTAGCATGAAGTCTGAACAGCAGTACTTATCAACGTTTGTTTATATGGCAGCGTTTGTGTTCTCCCTCTCACACCTTGGGCTAATCCATGCTTTACTGCATGTTACATCGCCAGCAGCTTCTACTATTTCAGTCACACCAGGGTTTCCTGAATTTAGGACAGCATGGTGCAGGGTTATAGGAATTCATCAGTAAATAGGTGGTGAAAACAAAAGGCTTAATAATTCTTAATCAGAGTGCTTAATATTGACTGAGAATCATTGGAAGAGAGATAAGGAAAAGATTAGAGGGAGAAGTCTTCAAATACATGAAGGGTGCAGAGACTGAAGAAATGACGGATTTCTGCATCCAAGCTTAGGTTATAGAAAAAAGGTGTCTGAGTTGGAGTTTGGTAAGAGCTTTCCAATATGAAAGTGAAGCACTGGAAGAGACTAGGAAGGCTGCAGAATCTGTATTGTGGGGTGTTTTGGGGGATAGTTTGGAAAAGAAATCTTTCAGGTGTGGTTTACAGGTACCAAGGGATTAAACTGGCTGATATTACAGCATCTACAGTAATCACAGAAAACAGAAAAAATGAAAATGTTTAGCAAAAAAAAAAAAAAATGCATTTTTCACAGTTGGACTGTTTTTATTGTTACCTGCTTAGGAAGAAGGAGAGACCTTGGATGTGACAGCAGTGATTAATGCTTGCACTCTGACAGAAGCTCGCTATTTGCTTGATCACTTCCTCACGATGGGTATCAATAAGGTAATGCATGAAGGGAAATGTGTGTGCCAGGGCTAGGCCATGTACCAGGGGCAGAGGTGTGCTGACTTAAAGGCTGGCTGGTCTTCATTAGACAGAGCAAAGCTACTGAAGCATTCTGATTCTCAGTGTGAAGGCCCATGAGGTCCGTTGCCTGTTTTTCAACTCCCAGTAGAACTTACTTAATTCTATTAATTACCTCATGATGTTCCTATAAGAACATTAGCTTTTCATAATCAAATAAATCTCTGTTTTTCAATAAGCTCCCAAAGGATGCTCAGGATCTCTTTTTTTAAAGACTGGTTCAGCCACTTCCTCTAAAATAGGAGCCTTTAAAAAATTTGTCTTAAGGTGTATATTGATGTGTGGCATACCTTAGTCAGAATTCTGCTATTGAGTACAGCAATATGGCCTTTTTCTGAAAAACTTTGGGACTAATGTTTTCAAAATTACTATTTGGCAGTTTATAACCCTGTGCACACATGTATCATATGCTCTTGCTGCTGCTTTTATTTGTTATTTTTTATTTGAAGGGCACAGTCACTGAATCAGAGATTTCAAGGCTATTGAAATGGTCATTGGGTCGGTCCCACTGACCAATTCTCTGGGGTTTTTTTTTGTTTTTTTTTAATTCTTGAAACATCACTATGCAGGTAATAAAAAAGTTTGTTCTTATTGTAAACAACAAATTTTGGCTTCTGCAAATTTCAGTCTTTTGGGTTTTTTCAGCTCTTGGGGTGAGTTGAATGGATCTTGCAGCAGAGTTAATGAGAAAAGTGCCTCTGACTTACTCAGTTAACAGTTTCTTCTTGTTGTGATAAAAAGCTTCATTATGTGGAGGCGTTTCTTCACTTTCTGATAAGTAATAATTATGTAGGAACATA